TATCTAAAATTAGTAAAAGTTTCTCATGCACTAGGACTACTGATAAAGCTTTATCACGATACCTAACACAGCTTTGCCTAAGCCAGGTAAAAACAGACCACAAAACACCACTTTTGTATGCTTCTAAATATGGAAGAATGAAAAGGGTGGAAAAGACTTGTTGTGGAACACTAATTTACTTGGTAAGCAATTAGAGAACAACTACTACAGAAAAGTGAACAAATGCCAGGGCACATATAATATCTACACAAGTTGTTATAGGGAGTCCTTGAAAAGCCCTGCCAATCTCTATGCATCAACTGAAAAGCTCAAAACTTCACTCCAAATACTGATCTCCAAAGATCAGAAAAAATAGAAAGGAACAGGTTAGCAGTCCAAAGCTACAGAAATGCTGGATCTCCCTTTTAAGAGATGGGGGTGAGAGAAGTTGTTACTGAATAGCAGTTGTTACTGAACATGTCCTGTAATCAAGGAAAAATAATACTATTTTCCTAAAGAGCTCAAAATAATCATCACTACAGAGATTTCAACTGAAAGCATCCTAGTCTACTGCGCTCCCATCCTATATATTCTGTTGTTGCTGCTCATAGGATAACTGTAAAAATCAAAAGCTCCTTTGTTTTACAGTGGGCTTCTCCTCTCTGGTTTATTCAGCAAGGGACAATCCATCACTGAAGACAGAGTGCATAACTGAACATAACTATTGGCGGGAAAACTAGGCCTTGTCAGAGAATGCCCTGACCAGATGATTGGAATACTTTTCCATCTAACCGTGAATACAGCTGGTGTGAACAAAAATAAGATGAAAACCTGATTAGGACTCTGATACAAAAAACATTTTTGCAGGCATCCGAATAATGATAACGTGTCTTTAAGGCTGTTTTTTCACTTTGATCTCAAGCGTCAATATGACGTGTCTTAAAGAACTTACACGCTTAATCCAGAACTGAAAAAGTCAGCAGACCTCAATATTCCTGTGACTCCTAAAGCCTTCAGTTACAAGCAATGAAAAGACAGGGTATATTTTCCTTGCTCAGTTCTAAGCCCCCTTGTATTGTAACTGCACACATAAAATGTATTTTTAAAGGACAGGCATCTTTTGGCATATTTCCCCTAAGCTTGAAGCATGCAAGCTTTCAGAATGTCTATGGCTTACACTAGACTGAATGCTACTGGCTGCTTAAAGAATACAAGGTCATAAAATCTGTCACGTCTCTGTGCTCATTATGATATGACTATCATAAAATGCAAACTAAAGATTCCTTTTAAATTTGCTTACAACCGTGACCCAACAGATGCACATTTCATAGTTTAAAGCATTGAAGTGCCAGACTAACAGTGATTAAGTTTATTCCCTTAAAGCTTATTTCTCTTCAAAAACTTTTTTTCCATAATTCCCATTTTAAGAGACAAGTTACGCTCATAGATGCTGCCCCATCAGTCATTATCCTTAATTTATAGCAAGTGAACGCATTCCTACTCTAACATGAGTTCTATAGTAAGTTTATTATGAGCATTTTGAAATTTCTTTAAAAGTTATAGAAAATATTTACACTTTAAAAGTATACATTTATTGGAAAAAAAATCAGCAAATGTATTTTCAATAACTTGTTTCCATGTTTCCAATCATCTGAACATACCTTCCATTGTTTGAGAATTTGAAAATTCATATAGGATATTTAACATTTTAGTAGTGAATAAGCACCTGCACCATTTTTGAAATTTTCCTGTATTTATCTGTTGCAAACATATCTGTACATTGTCTGCCTTAATGTTATTAACTCACGTTTTGTGACAGTAAGGGTATAATTTGGAGGCTTAGCTTTTCCATTTCTCATATCCTTGCCTGAAATGGCTACCTGTAATCAAAAATATCAAGGCACTGATAGGGGAGCTGTTGGACTGTAGCCCCTCCTGTTTAAGCTGGAGGCAATACCCTCAGCTGCTCATCCCTTCCACATGTTTCCTTACTGGGGTTACTATCATCTCACATCTTCCAGTTTTACCGTTCATCTGAGCATTCCTTAGTCAGCTTCTGTCAAAATGACCAGACTTAGAGGAAACTTATTAAACATGCTCAAATTAAACTTTATCATTTTGATATAAATAGATTAAGAAACAACTACGCAGTTATGCCAGCAAACTGGGACTAGGGGGTCAACATGCAATAGGCTCAGGAGCTCTTAAACCATCTCAGCTGTATATTCCAAATGTGCCTCATCATACCTACAACCAGACCTTTTCCATGTGCAGAACAGTCCTTACCGAAGGCCAGTTCCAGAAGCAGAGCCCTTAGGAATGAAAGCACCTTTACAAAACAAAGCAGGCCAAAACAGTCTGGAAGAGCCCTTTGTGAAAGTGAGCATCAACTCCAAGAAGTCTACCTTTGACTCATCATTTTAGAGAGAACTAAGATATATGAGGAATGTTAAAACCAACCCCTGAAAATAATAACCACCTGTAACGAATTAATTCAAGTTAAAGGCTGCAGAGAAGCCTCACAGAGCAGAATAAAAAGGATTCCCTTTACACGAGGGCAAAATCCCCCCATCGTCATTTCTGAACTTGGAGCCTGGGTGAGCAAGTCATCTTCCAGACCATGGTGCCCCCCCAGCTCCCTCTCCCACCGGAGACCAGGGAGAACTGTGGCGCTCCGGGGCCGGCCACTGGACCAGGCTAACCCTGCTCCCACCCGCC